CCCCAAAACCCCAAAACCCCGACTATTAGATATTTGGAAAAAAAATTAGATTGAAATTGGAGAAAATATTGAGCTTTGATAATTTTGTACAAAAAAATGGAGTGTTTATAGGAATTAAAATGATTATCTTAGCGATTAAAAGTTTTTATTATGAGAAATTTTTATGAAAGAGTGGTTAGTGTTTACTATCTAATCATTTTTTAATTGTTAGTTCAAATATGCTTGATTATCTAAAAATATAGACTACATCATTTGAAAATGTAGCAATCTTTTCAGCAAATGTATCGTCAATATTTTCCCAACTTTTAAGACCTTAATTCCATCTCATTACTTAGTAGAGTGAATCTTTTTGCTATTCGCAACTTAAGGCAAATAATCCCCCGCCATTATTCTATCCAGCGCTGATTTGTTAAACACAGAGCTAATTGAAGTCTTCTAAGTTACCATTTTATTTTACTAGTACTGGTTTTTCCTGGTAGACTTCAACATTTCTATAAAGCTTATTAGAGTAGAATTTCGCTACTGAACCGAATCGTCTGTATTAATCATTACTGAGATCTTAGGTTGCAATTGCGAAGATAGTTCCGTTATTATCGAGAGCTGCATCTTAAACTCCAGAGATACTATTAGAATTGCCGTCAGGATAATGTATATAACATTCTTCATTGTCAGAAAACATTACTCTTTTTCCTTAAGCATTAACTTTGCTATTAGTTATAATTCCTTCCATTTTATAATCAACCCAGGTTTTATCATATGGATTATATGCTCTTGCATAATAAGCAATAGCATTCTTCTTTGAGAACTTATAGGTTAAACCTAGGATTAAATCTTTATCGACAAAGACATCGATGAAGTTTTACCCTGGTATGCTTATTTACTGAGACACTCCAACTAGTGACATTTAATTTTTAGCTCCAAGGAAGCCTTCACTATCAGATTATCCAAATATTTGTGCGAAGCCAACAGCTATTAGAGCAACAGAAGCAATAGTAACAATTGCTTGTTTTCTAATTTTTGAGCTGCGAGTTTGCTAAATAAGTGGCTCGTATGAGGAAGATTCGGTGTTCACTGACATATGTTATAAAATTTCTTTAATAAAATTATCATGATCACTTCAATAAAGGTAGTTATAAAGATTGGTAATAAAATGTTGATAAATTTATTAGAATTTCTCAAAAATATTAACCATGAATTATTTGGTGCCATGGGGTTTTGGGGTTTTGGGGTTTTGGGG